ATTTACGTTTGGAACTGTGTATTACTTGTCGTTTTGTGTACCCTGGCTGGTCCTGGACAGGGATTTAATACACAAAATAGTCTGGAAATTTGGGCTAAATTTCTGGGCGTGACAGGCAGCAAGGACGACGTGCAGCTGCCGCCGACTTCCACCCCCGCCACGCTTGTCGCACTGCTGCGGCCGGCCTCTGCCGCCATTGACCACGCGTTGTAGCCTATAGGTGGCCTCCATGCCGTGCGGGACGAGGTGCACCGCCACTGTGTGGGAGCCTTCCCCATCTCTCTCTTTTTCTCGAGCTCGGCTCACCGCTCGCCAGACCCGTGTCATCGTCGTTGCCGTCGCTGTCTGCTTCCACTTGCCAACCGTGTCCTTTGCCGCCGCAGCGGACCAGTCCCTCTCCTCCAACGGCGCGACGCCAGGGTGACGCATCGATGTGCGTGAAGGTTGAGAAAGAGGAGTGGGGCTGGCTGGGGCAAATGGGTCCCATCGTATTTTTAGTTTGGAATAAGTTCACCGGAGGTCCCTCAACTTAAAAGCGAGATTTGTTGAAGTCCCTTAACCACAAAACCAGAAATATGTACCCATAAACTTACACAAACCGTACACTCAAGGTTATACGGCAGTATATATGGGTGGTTTCGCTGACGTGGCATCCTAGTCAGAAAAAATTAAAAAAAGTACGTGGGGCCCACATGTCAGCTGCACATTTTTTTCTTCTCCTCTTCTCTCTTCTCTTTTCTCTCTTCTCTTCTTTAGTGAGGGAGGCCAGCGGTGGGCAGAGCAGTGGATGGCGGAATAGCGGCCGGAGTGCGGCGTCGCCTCGAGCGCCGCAACAGGAGGAGGGAAAGGGGAGGCGCCCGGCGGGAGATGGGGGAGGGGAGAGGCGCGGCGACGAGGATGGCACGGAGCGAGGGGTGCGGTGCGGTGACGGGGATGGCGAGGCGATGGGGGACGGGGTGCGGGGCAGGTGAGCGTCGCGCGTGGCTACCCTGGAGGTGGGGGGTCGCTTCGTGCGCGCCGCATCACCGGGGGCGCGTCGACTGGTGGGTGTGGGCGGCCGTTCTCCGCCAACTTCGCCCTCTACTCCCCGCTCATCTCCACCTCGTCTCACCGCGCCAGCGCCACCATCGAGGCAGCGACCCTCTTGCGGCCGCCGCGGGGTCGGGGGAGGAAGCTGCTGTCACGTGCCCTATTTACGTCAAGCCGTTCCCCTCTGAGCTGGCGGTGTCGGACCACCTCGTCGGTTGCCTTGTGGTGGCGGGAGGAGCCTGTCCCTACGCGGCCACGTACCTGGCTGGTGATCCCCTCGCGTTCGTCATGGAGGTGGTGAAGAAGCTGCTCGGGTGGGCCCCACATATACTTTTTTAATTTTTTTTGCTGACTAGGATGCTACGATAGCGAAACCACCATATATACTACCATAGGACCTTGAGTGCACGGTTTGTGTGAGTTTAGGAGTACATATTTCTAGTTTTATGGTTAAGGGACCTAAAAAAATCTCGCTGTTAAGTCGATGGACCTCCAATGAACTTATTCCTTTTACTTTTAATCTTGTCACTTTGGGACACACTTCTATTTTCAATTCCTTTGATGACTAGGCTACCACGTCAGCACACTTTATTAAGTTAATCAGCCACATCAGCAAAAACCGCTTTTCAAACCAGCGAATGAGTTGATCTGCACCGGTTTTCAAAGTTTGGGAATGTGTTATACCCGGTTTTATGGTTGAGAGATACGATTCGACCAAGGGCAAAAGATGAGGGAGCTTAAATAGACTTATTTCTATTTGCTGCTCGGTTACAGCGGAGTATGTACGGCATGCGTCTGTTTGGTCTTTGGAGCCTCGACTGGGCCTCGTGGAGAATACTCTTGTTTATGGGCCCAAATTGCCACAACCTGAAATTTTTGGACCATAAAATTTTGGGAGGCCCAAAATGTCATGGATGGTAACATGTGGGAGGGCCCAATCTGCCATGGCTGCTTTCATGGACCCACCGGGCAACCGGACCTTGGGCCAAATTTACTACGCCAAGAAAAGGGCTTAGATTAACCAGCATAATTAGCTCTGCTAATGGGACACCGTAACTAGATCTTTACCCGCACATGCACCGAAAAACTTCCTCACACGGCCGAACAAGATCGCCGTGCGAATTTGCACACAACGGCACGGCGGTAGGCAGGCAGCGCAGCAGGCCGCCGTGTGTGCCACTGCTGCAGCCCGCCGGCATGGGCCGCCTGGCCGCCAACACGTCCAGTACGCCGTTCGTTACCCAAAGCGATCGTCAAATCCGGTCGGACCACACGCACGCTAAGCACAACGCGAACGCATCCGGCCTCCTCCTCTCTCGCTTTTATTATTTTTTTCTTCCTTCCTTCCTTCCCCTCTGCCACTCTTCCGCCGTTCCACCCACCTCACGCTCTCCTCCCTCTCCACAAAACCACCGCGCCCTGCCGCCCTCCCGGCCGGCCTCCCCAACGCCTCGCGAGGGGCACCGCCCTTTCCGCCGCCGCCGCAAGGGGGCCTGGGTCGCCGAGCCTCACGAGGAAATGCCCGCCCAGAAGCGCCCTCTCCAGCCGGCCGACTCTGACGATTCCGACGGCCACGTCCCAGTCGGCCGCGCCGCCTCCAGCCGCGGCGGGGGTGGTGGAGTCTCGCACGAGTCGGATGGAGAAGACGCCGCGCGCCGGGCAAGGGAGCCGCCTCGGGACCAGCGGGACGGGGGTGAGACGGACGGCACGCCGCGCCGACACACCTCTCTCTGTCTCTCGATTCACGCGCATCGCGCTCGATGCCATGGGCTGTGGACGTGCCTAACAGGTTTTGTCTGCGTTTCATGATGGGTTTCGCAGATCCCGACGAGGGAGATGGCGGCGGTGGAGACGGAAGCGGCGGCGGCAGCGACAGCGAGTCGTCTCTGAACGGCGCCGGCGACAAGGACGAGTAAGCCTTCCTATCTCCCTCCCCTACCTCTCCCGGGTCGCCTCGCGTGGCCCGTGGTGGTAATCTGACCTCGCCGCTGCTTTTTGTGTCGTGCACTACCCGCTTACTCCCGTTCGTTACTTCTGCGACTCCGCTCTCCGGCGAGGCACGTGGCCAGCCACCGAGCCGGCCGGTGAGCTACTGTATACTATACGTGGCGATTCTCGATGATTGCTTCGTTCCAATTGTTCCTTTTTTTCTGTCATCTTTGCGTTGGGTAATCTGATCAAGTTGCACGAAGGGTACTGGTAGAAATTAGCTTACGATGCTATGCATGCTTTCGATCGCCATGAGGCGCGTGTTTTCACGGGGACGGCGTGACAGAGATGGTGGCGAATGCCTGGGGGCAAGATCGAAGCAGCATCGATGAACACCTGGTGATGATGCGATGCTGTCGTGGCGTGGCGTAGGCGCGTATCCGCTGATTCTCAGACTTGTCCATCTGGCCTTTCTGATCCCTTCTAGGCAGGGGCTGATGTGTAATGCAAGTACGCAGCTACGGAAGAGTTGATGTTCTTCTAGCGTCATTGATTTATGGATCATTATTAATTCATTATCTTTAGTTCCATGACTTCTGTTGGATAGAAGCATCTACAGCTTGGATTCATTCTTAGAGTTAAAAACCTTTCATATTTTCGTTAATATATAGACAGTCTGCATCTTCAACTCTAACTCTATGCAGCATGATTTAAATTCAAGATGCTAATCATAACATGCCACTAGAGAACTGGTGCCATTGTCAGTTTGGTACCCACAGTTTGACCGTGGTATAAACGATCACGAGAGTTTGCAATGTTAAACTACTGTTTGATCCCTCGAAACCAGACCATAAACCAATGAAAAGTTCAGGAGTTCTAAAAGTGTAGAGTCGATCGAGTGCAAGACCTGCCCATTTCGTCAAAATGATCTGCTGGGCTCACAATCATATATTGAGCAAATATTGCGGTCACTTTATACCTACTAGGGGGGTTGTTTCTTCCAGTCCATACATTTACGATAGTTCTGCATCTTCTTCTATCACGACCAAACGTTTCTGCACTACATAGCTAGCTTCTTCAAAGAAAAGGGTGGGTAGTATGAATATTGAAAGCCCTCTCAGATAAAAATTTATCACACTCCCACCGTTTAGAGTCTTGGTTGGATAGTACTGTTTACGCGAAGTGAAACCTGACTATATCTTTTATTCTACCGCATAGATTACTTTCGTAGGTAGGTTGACTTTATTTTCTTCTTTCTGAGTCATTTGTTTCTGCTGCTTGATCAGAATGTGTTAGTCCCCGTTCTAGGCTTCTGACAAACGCAAGTTACATAAGCTAATAAAATCTGTTGCTAGCTGTATTATATTGTCTGTTTTCTCTTGAATCTTTCCTATCCAGTAGTTATGCTCTACAGGCTTACAAGAAGTACCGAGATCGGTTTGTTTCTCTTCGTCGACGTCTCCTGCAAGATCGTTTGGACCGATCTCCCCAGCGGCCCAGCCGCTGGATGAAATTTAGTAGACGTGTCACCCGGCATTTGCCCCTGTAAGATGCTCCAGGGATACACATATGGTTGTAGCCGCAGGTTGCACACGCCGACTTATATGCGCCGGGCGGCGACCGCTGCCGGTCGCACAAAATCGGCGACGCAGCATGATCCACCCTCCGAGCCTGACCCGGCGCTTCGGTGTGAAACACCAGGAGGCTAGCTTCGGTGTTTCACCTCACGCAACTCACGTTCTTTGATCAAAGCCGTACTCAAACGAGCGGCATGGAAGCGCATCCCTTGCCTTGGCCGGTGGCCGCTACCGCTACGCAGCTGGTCCGAGACTCCGAGTACAGCAGGGGTAGCAGTTTTCAGCAGAGAAAGGAAAAGTACGGCAGGCGGCCAGCCTGCATGCCCCGTGCGTCGCCGCCGCCGACTGCTGCCGATTGACTGCTACGAGTAGCTCGCACCTGGCCCTCTCGCGTCGCGCGATTCCCAAAGCCAATCGGACGGGAAGCACCCCCGCCTCTGCCCCTCCACGCAGGCAGAGACGGGGGACTGATATTCACATGCCACAAACCCAACTCAACCCAGCGCAAACAGGTCCCAAGTCTCGAGCCCCCGTCTTTATTTTCCTCTCTCTATCTCTCCGTCAGGCAAGGCTCCCTCACGCACCCACCTGGCTGGTCACCTCCCTTCTTCCGCTGCCCTCCTCTTCCTTCCTTCCTTCCTCCCTCCCTCCCTCCCCGACGACTGCCCCCGCCCCCTCCCGGCCTCGTCGCGAGGGTGGATAGCCGCCACCGCCGCCAGATCCTACGGGCAGAGGGCCAGAATGCCCGCGCAGAAGCGCCGGCTCTCGTCGTCGCCGTCTTCGAGGCCCCGCGACCACGTGGAGACTAACGGGATGACTGGTGCTTCGAAGGCCGCCGCCGGCAGCGGCGGCGGAGGAGGAGGAGGAAGCGGAGGGGGAGTTCCGCTGCCGCCGAGGGGAGGTTCCGCCGCCGCCGCCGCCGCCAAGCGGGCGGCTGACCCGCAGCCTCAGCGCGAAGGCGGTGAGTTTTTCGTGGCGTCGACGTCGAGGCCTCCCATCTCCCCCGCGGCCGGCCGCGATATGCATGTCGCGTTCGGGGTCTCCGTGCGAATATGGCTAAGAGGCTTGTGTGTTTCGATGGGCTTGGCAGATTCGGACGCGGAGTTCGGCGGCGGCGTGGACGGCGACAGCGAGTCGTCGCAGAGCGACGGCGACATGGACGAGTGAGTCTTCCTTCCTTCCTTCCGTCCCTCCTCCGCTCCCTCTCCGACCCCATCCGGCCTCTTCTGTCTCCTCTGACTGCTACGCTATTTGGCTTTTGGAGCCCCCCTCGCGGTGCCACGACCCGAATACTAGCTCCGGTTCGTCGTATAGTACTTCGGTGGTTCTGCGAGATGCCGCCATGCCGGCCGGAGCTGGTATGCTCGGGGAGTCGTCGGTATTGGACATGGTTGCTTCGTCGTGTGTTCGGGTCGTATCTATGCAAGCGATCGCATGCGTTTACATAATATGGTATACAGATTGTCTATGCTAGCTGCGCTGCCAACACATACGATCTCGTAGGTAGTACTGCACACCACACTAATGCCGGAGATTGCTGGGAAACGTAGTCTATGGATCTCACAGTCTCAGCTGTGCAACCTGTTTGCGCTGTACTTTTGTGCTGGAGTCACCTCTTTCATCTGAACTGCTCTGTTCCACGTGGTTTCAGTTGAACGTTGAAGCTTGGAAGAGTTCTGTTTAACAGTTGTTTTTCCGTCGATGTATGCTGATACTTTTCCAATGATTGTGAGTTTTTTTTAAATAATTTCCGTTACAAAGACATAGATGATTTTCGTTGATGTTGCCTTAATCTGGTGTTCTAAATCTGCTTGCTTTTTGGGACTTGGAGGTCTCCTGTAACCCTGTTTACTACAGGGGCATTATCTTCCTTGTTATTTTTCAATGTCCTTTCAGCGGGTTGTCTTATAAGAAATATGCATTCTACGGACGTTCATGAGATTCAAGATTCTCTAAATCATATTTTATCTTAACACAGATTTGGTTGTCTTAATGCTGAAGCCTTACCTAATTACATCATTGGAATTTGGATCCATTATAGATGATAGTCGAAGCTCAACTAGGAACATTGCTATGCGTGTGACCTCCTGGATGGATGAATGTGCTCAAATGTTCATCTCGACTAAAATCAGAACATCTTCTTTTGCATGTTTAAGTTTCTGAAATCTGGGGTTATATAGTTTCTGAACAGGAACTATATGCCATTGTTCAGTTTGTAGTTAAATACTTGCCTTCACTTATATCTTGCTTTTTTTAATCATTGAGTGGTTTCTCAATAGCTATGTTTTCAAGCTAATGTTGCACTGCTTTATTTTTTATTACACTAGGATGTATGGTATAAATCTAAGATCAATATTCAGGGGCATACATGCTGAAAGATAATGTTTCCCACAGGCTGAAGCTTATATGGACCTATTTCTCATGCAGGTTCATAATAGTGAAATTAGCAGAAATACGAAAGGAGGTCCAATGCCCTATCTGTTTAGGTAAGGATTTTTCCCCTCGAGTTTTGCAGAGATTTGGATATAATATTGATTGCTCATATTCACGCTTGAAAGTAAACCTGGACATGCCAATCCATGCATCCTTATGTTTATGTGCATGCATGAGCCATTTTGTATCTACATAATTTAACCTAATATAGCCAACATTTGCACCGCTGTTGTGTAAGATGATTTAAACTAGCATAAAACCCTGATGTCATTATTACATCTTTTGTCAATAAATAAATGCACTACTATGCGCATCTTAATTGTCAAATAGATGAATGAATTTAGCATGGCTGTAGTAAAGTTAGTTTCTTTATAACTAGGATTTTTTTTCCAATTTTGTTTTATTAGTAATTACATTTGAACTACAGGAACTATAGCCGATAAGTCTATATGTTGAATGGCTGATACTAATTGCCTGCTCAGGAGAATCTGATTCTTGTTTTTAGCATGATTACATGCATTGCTGGTTTGGTGGATAGTGCCAATTGTAACTTTCACTCTTTGTTTGGACAGTTACTGCTGACAGTATTATTTTCATAATCACTATGGTTTCACCTAGAATCACTCCATCTGTAGTTTCTATAGTAATTATTATATGGGCCAAATATCATGTGCTATATCCGATGGTATATCCTACCCAATTAGAAACCAAACAGTGCAGTTTGTCGCCTCTTCGTTTTACAAAACATGTCACAGCAGACAAATTAAAAGTCTAGGTTAAATACTATTTTCATGCATTGGACAGACCTGATGAAACCCAAGTAAAAAAAAAAACTGTAACTTGCAAGTTTGAAATTTTAGATTTAACATTAAACTACACATGACATTTTCTGTCATGTGAAACTATGCCATAATAACCATCTGATCCTTATGCTTCGCAGGGATTATCCGGAAAACAAGAACTGTTATGGAGTGTTTACATCGGTTTTGCAGGGATTGCATAGATAAATCTATGCGGCTAGGGTATGGTGCTATACATCTGTTATGTGAAATATCAGTTTTCAGAAGGAAAATGTAGAATTTACAAAAAATGATTTCTAAGCAATAAAAGAGAACATTCTTTGTTTGACAATATAAATAATGCACTTATTTAGCAGAAATAATGAATGCCCAGCATGCCGCACTCACTGTGCAAGTAGACGTTCTTTGAGGGATGATCCTAATTATGATGCATTGATTGCTGCCCTATATCCAGATATTGATAAATACGAAGAAGAGGTGATGTCTATGTGCCTTGTCATTATTTATTTGTTTGGTTTTCTTTGGCCTGGGTGCTTATAATATTTTTTTACCTGCAGGAACTTGCTTTCAGTGAAGAGGAGAGGAGTCGGAACAAAAAGGTGAGCTTATCTCTTTGGTACTACTGTAAAAGCCAGCAGACTGTATCTCGCATCTGAAGTAGAAAATTGATGCAAAATTAAGTTCTCTCTTCACCATCTATTTTTTGTTTTATCATCATATTTAACATTTTTTTTACATTGAAGATCCAAGCAACAATTGAGGAAACAATTCGAAGACAGTCAGAGGCAGTTGGTAAAAAGCGTTCCACAGCCAAAGCAACTGCCACTGTTTTTGCAAGGAAGTACAGGAGAAATATGCGAACGCGTGGTAGAGGTAAAACCATTGCTCCTGATATCGCCCCTACTGGCTCAGACAACGAGGATAGAGAAGAAGGAAATGCCATTGATACCACCAAGGAGTCATCTTCTGCTGATGACCGCTCTTCAGATTTAATGCCAAAAAGAGGTAGGAAAAGGCCCGCATCACGAGCATCTCCTGCTAGGACCATTGGCAGCAGTGACCATGTCTTTGAGGAGAACGATGAGCTGATAGGCGGAAAAGAAAGTTTCACCACGTCTCCATTGCGGGGGGAGATGCTTGCATGGGGCAAAAATGGAACACGAAGCCAAACAAGACATGGCAGTGTTGGTGGTTCAAATGGCAGAATGGCAAAGGGTGGACGCGTTGCAAAGTTGGTGGACCACCTCCGTACTACTGATGATATGGATAAGGAGGTATTGTACTTCATTTGTGATAGATTATGAATTCCTTTCTGTATAAATTTCCTTTTTTCTAAAGATATTCTTTCACACCTATAATTTGGAAATTCATAAATTTTCTAGGATCTAAACTATATGATGTTTGAAGTTTTAAGATACAACATAAACTGTATGCTGTTTGAAATATTTTTCAAAAATAAGAAGAAAAAAAACAACGTTCCATGCTATGTGGTGATAGTGTTCCTGAGCTTTAATGCTTGCTATTTTTATTGTCACATGTTCTGGTTATTCTATTCATGCAATCCACAAGTGCATGAATAAGCAGTGTCTGAGGCTCTAAGCTAAACATACAAGGAGCACGTGCCAGGTAGCTGAATTTTCTATATATTTATTTTGCAGTTCAACTTGTATCTTGTTCTCCTTCCTCTTGATGAACAAAGTATGCCTAACTTGGATAAGCCCTATATAAGTTGTCGACCAACCTTGTCCATTCGGCATCTTGTACAGGTTATTGCTTGCACCTAAAGTTCTTTTATTAGTTTTGAAATGTTCTTGCTGGTTGATCTAACCAAAGGTTGTAAATCTTGTTTGCTTCCAGTTCATTGCTCTGCAGTTGTCTCGGCAAGTTGAAGAACTTGATATCTTTATGAGGATAGACCACTGCAATGGAAGTGTTACAACACAGGACTGCACTACAGGTGTTGCAAAAATGCGTTTATCTGATGGCCTGGAAAGAATAAGGGAGGATAAACTTCTTTCAGAGCTTCATCCTTCTTTTACTTCTCATCACGGTGATCTGGTAAGTTCAAATATCCGCATGAATTCAGCTTCCACATGTTTTTTTTTTGTTTATTCTTGCACTTCTGATGTACTCTGCGTTTCCATTCAATTGTTAGGAATTGCTGTATGCTTTGAAAACTCAAGGCTAGATCAGAATTTCTTGACACCGCATTCGTCACTGTCGTTACAGAGGTACATCTGGCCATTCGGGCTCAGTCTGGTGAAAGGTTGTATATAAAAAGCATTCTAGTGGTTCTCTTTCTTTTTTCGTGATGTTTAAAATATAATTCGATTACTTTGTAATATATAGATTTTCATTGTTTGCAAGGATCAGTTGAATTTATTAGCGATTTTTATAAATAGACTAAGTAAATATCCTTCTGTTTATTCATTTGTACCAGTTTGCTGGATCATGGATAGTAGTAGATTGTTGCGGTAAAATCTATTTGTTATTCGCTTGTTCAGGCCTTCGTTCATACAGAGATATCGCTTGTCTGGGAGCAGTCACCATTCTCTCATTGCCATGTGCCTCTGCGATTTGTTTTGGTGAAATATACTTTCGTTTCAAAATATATAACACTATTGACTTTTGCATAATGTTTGACAATTTATCTTATTCAAAAAAATCATATAAATATTATTTATTCTGTCGTGACTTGTTTTATCATCAAATAAAATATAATTTTAACTTATACTTTTACATATTTATATTAAATTTTTAAATAAAATGAATAATTAAACGTTGTATGAAAAGTGAACGTCATACATTTTGAAAAAGGTGTGCAAATTACGTCCTACTGCTCTACTGGCTGACGGAGTTGCGAGCCCCCTTCGTTCTTTAGCATGGGTTCTACTTCGACCGATTATGAACATTATAATCTAGGTAGAACATATAGCGCTGTTATTTTAGCGCAGTCCTTTACAAAAACTGAACATATAGCTCTGTCGATCTTCCTTTTGCACGACTTGTATTAGCAACCTATCGTTACGCAGAACCTCATGCAAAAATTCTGCAAAATTACGCAGAAACGTTAGACAAGTTTCCCACCAATGCACCACATACAAACTTGAATCACCAAAGCAAACATGCAAAATGAATAGTAGCAGTACTAAATTAGCAGATGGATACTTGCAGCCCCATTATTTCACTTATCCATTTGATTATCCAAATCACTTATTATCAAATAAAAAAATTATTTGTAAGTAAAACTTTTAGATGCATGTCTTTAACGACTTAAAAGCAAATGTTGTAAAATAAACTACGATAAAAAATAAAAAATCAAATTCAAAATTAAATTCTAAAATTCAATTTTTAGCTTATAAAAATAAGCATAAGCGAAACAATAAAATCTTTGGGATGAATTTGATTACCCAAACAATAAAATTTTGCGAAGTGGTTGCACACTTGCACTGTAGCCTCCCTCACCGTCTGTTTTGGAGGTGAATGAGGGTCGCCCCAGGATGCCTGCGTCCATGAGCCATCGCCAAACTAAGTCGATGGTGGTGAATTTGTTGCTCACCCCTTTAAGATCAATCCTGTAGTCAGGCGCAGTCGGGAGCAGGGAGGTCATCTCTTCTTCCCCGTAAAATATGCAACTGTACCCCTGCCATTGTTTTCGGATCAATCTCCGTCGTCTCGGCCGGACAAATTTCATGCCCAACCATCATCTGATCAGCAACCACTTTGGACTGCCGCACCTAGGCCTCAGCTCCTTCCTGCTCGCATTGCCTAAAACTTTAGATTGCCTGTACGTCATGGCGACGCTCGTGTAGGGGGCCAGCACGGTGTACAGCGTGTGCACTGCCCGCACGGTGTACATCGTTTACACCACCCTCACGACACGGGGAAGCGGAAGGCACCGTCGCTGGTGCCGCCGCCGGAGCGAGCCGAATATCTTGAGAAGGACTCAAATGAAGAGGACGAGGACCTCCAAGGCTCCACGTGCACCAGCCGCCCTTCCGTGCTGCGCAGGATCTCGCCCAACGCCGTGGTATGCTGTTGAGTTCCATGGTTTCCCCGACGTATCGACGCTGCTCTGCTTTATGTGGTTGCCTCTTTACGACTCTCTGCTCTGCGTCTGCTGTACGCCGGGTTACAACTTACAAGCCTCAGGAGCCCTAAGATCAGCTGGTTAATTAACGTGCACCTGCGCATGAGCAGCATTTGAATTACTTTGGACGAGGGTTTTGCTGGGACATTGGAACGGATGCCTTCAGTTGGAAAGATCGTTCAACTCTCTTTTCTTGAGCACAGTCGTTCTCTTTCCTCCCTTAACGAAACCTTCCTTCTAAAAAACCACTCCATCCCTTTCCCAAATAATCCGCTTAAAAAACCTAACCCATCATAAAAAATCGATCTACAAATTAAACTATATTTCTATCTTCTTTTCTTAGCCCGTTGTAAAACAATGACATATAGTTAATAAAACAAAAGGCACGATACATACTTCTAAAAAAACCTAACCCATCATAAAAAACCGGTCTACAAATTAAACTATATTTCTATCTTCTTTTCTTAGCCCGTTGTAAAACAATGACATATAGTTAATAAAATAAAAGGCACGATACATACTTCTATTTTACTAAACGTACCCTATCATACACTCGTAGGAAGTACAAAGAAAGATGATCTCCTATTTTACTAAAAGTACAAAACAAATGCACAATAAACTCATAGTATCACACATGCTCTCCCCGTCACAGAAAAAACTAACTCCTGACAACGGTTGGTTTTTCGTCACCGGGATTTGATTTTTTTTTCTTGGATGGAGGAAGCACCATTAACATATCTTTAGGATAGGGATATAAATGAGCCAGGTCAGCTCAAGCAAAAACATGCTCGACTTCACCCATTAGCATTGCCAGGCAGAATGTAATGTCCATACCCATGGTGTTGGGCATGGGTAAACCGATGGGTACCCTATGGATTTCTCTCAACATGAGTAATATGACTTATATTACCCCATAGGTAGATAATTAAACAACACAGTTAATTAGCTAAAAAAACCATCACCAATAGTTCATCAACACAGTAGCACAAATCAATAACAAGCTATCATATTTCATCAAACTTTCAACTGTTCAAATATAAGGGGACGTGTTAAAATCAACTAGGTTGGGTTTAGGTTACCCATAGATACAAAATGAATACCCACACCCGTCCTCTAGAATTTTGGGTATCATATTCACACATACAAACAATTAAACTCACGCCTGAACCTATTTGACGCGGTATTTGCGAATACCCATGTCCACATGTAGGATTGTCATCCTTACTTAAAATTAAAAGCCCTCGGTGAGACGCACATTAGGTTGTGATCATGGATCAAACCTAGGTGGATTGATCAATCAATTGGCAAAGTTAGCCACACAAGCATTGCTTTATTCTTAAGACCAACTTCTTTTCATAAACTATAGTCAATTGGCAGTGGATAAACTTATGCTACTACCTCCTCCTGTTTCAAATCTTATCACGGTATGCTATTTCCTTTTTTAACTTTGAACATTTTTTTTAAAAAATATGTATAATTAGAAGTATGTTGTATTAGCAATGTATAGTGTGCTATAAATACAATAATACATTTTTTATGAATCATAAATCAATCTATTACAAATTACTAATGCTGAAATTTGAAAATTGTTGGTCAATTATTAATCATAAATAATTAAATATTTTATTAATGATTAAATTGGATTTTTTATGAATCATAAATCACTAAAAGTATTAATGAGTAAATGAAGATGGAGTGAACATAAACTCACAGCTCTATTGTTTCGCTTATTCATATGCTTATCCCAATCCCTTATTAGCAAAAAAAAATATTTGTGAGTAAATTATATATATGTCCTTAGCGACTTAAAATTAAATGTTGTAAAATAAACTACGATGACAAAAAAAAATATATCCAAAATTAAGTTCTATAAATTTAAAATTTAGCTTATAAGCATAAGCATAAGTCCCTCAGCTTTGTATGAGGTCGGCAGGTCCCTTGAACGGAAGATTTTTTTTTAAAAAAAAAGGTTACGAAAAATAATTCATTTTCTATAAAATTTGGAAAAATTCTCAAGATCTACATGCGCCAAAAATTAAAACTTATAATTATAGCGTACAATCTTGTAAAAACACTTACAACAATAACTAATACTGCTCCGAAAAAAACATCTCAACGAGACCCTTATTCCGCTTGCCGGCTTTTAAGCCTTAGCTTAAATTTATATTTCCAAACTCAATTTTAAATTACTTTGGGTGTTCTTCGTCATTTTCTTTTTTCAGTTTATCTTTCAAACTGCTAAAATCTCATTTGTTTCCGCTCGGCTTAGGCCATCTACAATCGGTGTCTTCAGCTCGTCCTCTCACCCTATGCCGTCCGCTTTTCCGTCCGAGCCGCCTCCCCACGATGCGACGCGACCCCTGGCTCCCCACGATGCGACGCGACCCCTGGCTGAGGGATGCGCCTCTCGCCGCTTTTTGGCGGAGTGACACAGCCGAGAGACCCATTGGTGGGCGACGGGCTCCTATGGGTACCGGTTCCCCAGTTCATATTCCTATTCCACCCTTGGCCGGAGGAAGGGGATGAGGACGACGCGGCGTAGGGGCAAGGCGTGTGCGTGCACTCGGGGCAGAACCGGAGTCGCCGCCGGACGAATCGCCGAACTGCATGCAGACCACATCCAAGCAAATCCAGATCGGGAAGGAAGAAAAAAGAGCAAGCAAATCCAGATTAGAGAGGAAGAAGAGCAAGGAAATCCGGGACGGCGCCGAGGCCCGCCGCCGCCCGCCATCCGCCGTTGGCCACCCCGCCCCGTGTCCTGCTCGCCTTGCGGAGGTAGAGAGGCGGCGACGGGCGGAGGGATAGCCGTGCCCTGCTCGCCGCTCGCCACGCGCCGTCGATGCCGCCGCTTCGATGCCGGCGGCAGGGTGGGGCGGGGACGCCTGCCGGCGTCGGGGACGAGAGAGGAGGCGGAGGAGACGAGAAGACGCGAGAGAAGAGAAGAGAACGGCGGTAGAGAGGAGGGAGGTGGCGGCGGCGGCGAGCGGCGAGGGAGAGCGGCGGCGGCGAGCGGGGGAGAGAGGAGGGAGGTGGCGGCGGCAGGCTGGGAGGCGGCGGCGAGATGGGCGACGATGGCGAGAAGAAGAAGCGAGAAGAAGCGGCGGAAGAAAAGAGGGTTATTTGAGGATTTTTCATCTGGGGCTACTTTGGGCCAAGACACCTATTGTGGGCTATAGTACCCTCACCGGGTTGCTTCAGATTTTGAGAAGCCCATCAGAGATATCTTCCATTGCGAGCTGGATTTCCTACTAATGTTAGTGAGAACACTCTAGAAATGTCCTGTGGATACCCTTATCAGCCGAAGCGGCCGAAGCCATCCAATCCAATGTACTCCAACCGCCAGTTGCAAGTCCGTCCGCATACTTCAGCCGACATGGGCCCGCACGCAGTGACAAGAGGGCATACAGGCGCCTGTATCCAAAGAATATCCTATCGATCTCTCCCCAACCCAAGCGGCAACAGCCAGCCCACCACCGCTTCCTCGCTCTGATGTTAAGTCCACCGCCGGTGCCATTTCTCCCTCCCACCACTTCCCGTGCCCCCCCTCTCCTACCGCCGCCCAGAGCAACAAACCCTAACAGCGCCGACCCCACGACCACCACCGCCGCCGGCATGGGCGCGGCCGCGTGGTGGCGGCGCTCGCTGGGGCAGCGGTTCAACCCGGCCGGCGTGGCCGCGGTGGCGGCCGTCGCGGCGTCCGAGCCGCGCCTCGCGCTGCCGCACGTGTCCGTGCAGGACATCCGGTGGCTCGACTGGGGCGAGCTCCGTCGCGCCGGGTTCCGCGGCGTCGTGTTCGACAAGGACAACACCCTCACCGCGCCCTACGCGCCCGGGCTCTGGCCGCCGCTCGCCGCCGCGTTCGACCAGTGCCGCGCGGCCTTCCCGCCGGGCTCCCTCGCGGTGTACAGCAACTCCGCAGGTCTGGGCCTTGCTTCCCTGCTAGTATTAGAAAGCGGTTGGTTTGGGGGAAAAGGAAACATTGAGCTGATGAAGTTGATGTGTTTGTGGATTTCCGCAGGGTTGAAACAGTATGATCCGGATGGATTAGAGGCGACGGCGATTGAGGCTGTTATCCAGGGGGTTCATGTGATCAGGCATGGCAAGTGCTTGTCCTCTTATTTCTGACTAGTGGAAAATTTCTGTGTTACTTAGCTCCTTTTTTTTCGCTAAGAGACCTACAATACAAACGCTTTAGAACCCTTTGAATGCTCCATGCGTTTTGTTCTCTTGTTATTGAGGCTGACATTGCATAGAATGTAAATCGATCGTTAACTGAAAGGGGAATTATGGAACTGCTGGATTGTTCAACTGTCATCTGTGAAATATTGGAGTGTTCAGTCCTTTGTCACCCAATTCATTTTTAATGATTCTTTCAGCTTTGTTTGGCACCAATATTTGTTAAATGGTTCCGTCGTGTCAAATATGCAAGTTATATATTGCAACTTTGCAATTAGGCTGCAAAGTAGTTCTTGTTTTGATATTATCTTTCTTGTTGACTGTGTGAGGCTGTAGCTTTGATTTGCACATATAAAAGATAATGGGGATACTCTGTTTATGCATCTTCTCTGCTGGTTGCAGATATAAAGAAGCCTGGTGGAGAAGCTAAGGAAATAGAGAGTTACTTTGGTTGTTCAGCCTCAAATCTTGTTCTGGTAGGAATGGCTATAATCACTTGCGACAACTTTACTTCTAATGTATTTTACACAGCTAAGATTATTCTTTCATGTTTCCAGGTTGGTGATCGATACTTTACTGACGTTGTTTATGGAAACAGGAATGGTTTTCTTACTGTTCTTACAGAACCATTGAATTTTGCAAATGAATCTTACATTGTCAGACAGGTATGCTATTCAATTATCCTGTGAAACAATCAGCGTATTTACAGCATAACAAGGGGAAAAAAAAGCATAATTTTGTTGGCAACTATGAACAACCTAGGCTGAGCATTAGTTTTTCCTTTTTCTTAAGAAAAAACTGCTTAAATTGCTAGTTTGTGACAGTTGTTTCTCTTTATGGATTTCCTAAGTTTGTGTAGATGCTAATTGCTACTAGTACATTATTAGAAAACCCAGCCAGTGAATTGTGTTGTGCTAATAAAACTATGGATTCTTTCAAATTTCTTGATCTATTGGAAAACGCTTTGACTATTCCCTTGTGTAACTTTACAACTATGCTCCTAACCACCAGATAGTCTGTTCATCAATTTTTTAAATCAAAGTTTTCTGTGCTACTGCTACATGATCTTACAGAGATACTGTACCATCAAACACTGGAGCAAAATATGTTACAAGTAAAACCCTCAGTTGATGTTACACCTTAGGTTTGCCATTGTTGTGATCTCTGAGTCTGGACCATCGTATGAGCATATTATATTTTTCTGCCTACGGTAGCTCTTTTGTATAGATTTCTGAAAAGTTCATCCTGACATTTTTGGTTTACCAGGTTAGGAAATTTGAAGCATACCTTATCAGTTATTGGTACAGGAAAGGGCACAGACCAATTAAGCACCCGTTGCTCCCTGATGCAAGACGAATAGTAAAGTTTGATCCATACAATGACCCTATGGCACCTGCAGCATAGCACAATTATGTTTTTGGCACCAGTTAATAGTACAGTCGGCTGATCCATTGAGTTCACTGTATTTTTTTTTCTGAATCAGTATGAGCGGATGTTTACAGTCTATAGTTGAGCAGAATATAGAGAAGAGTATGTTATGACTAAGGTTGTCTTTTGGTGGCTTTCTGAATCAGTATGAGCGGATGTTTACAGTCTATAGTTGAGCAGAATATAGGTCAAGCTATATTGTGCTTATAGTGTAAGATCATGATGGCTTTTGCTGGGTTCAAATCAATAGTTCATCTCTCTTTTGATTATCTGCTGCGCCTGGAGCCCTGGGCATTAACTGTGTTTATCAATACTTGGAAGTAATCAATACCAGAGACGCTTCCTCTCAATTTTCTCGAACAAAATATTACGGACATCACCCTCCACATAATCTTTATTTGTTAACCAATAGTGGTTAATTATTAGTGATCCATTTCCTTTTGTGAACATTGATCATTTCCGGTGCGTATATGTGCTGACTGAAAATGCAAACCGTGCGAGAAGTTCTGCATAGGAGATTACAGAAGTCCTAAGGCATGATCTGCTCAGTATCTATACATTTCATATTAGCTTACATCACACGGCCGCCATTTTTCCCGAGTACTTTGTTTACATAGCCCAAACATGGCCTGCAGTATCCTGTTGTTGCAACTTGCAAAGGCGTAACTTGTAGGTGTTTATGTTGGACCTGTAAACTGCACATTTCTTATTTTTTCACATTGATACACAAAGTCCATAAAGAGCATTCTTTTCTCTGCTCAGCAGGCACATCGATTTTCACAGAGATGACCTCGGTTTAATGGATGAAGACCTTGTCCTATACGAGTATACGCCTTGTCCACGCTTCTTCCCAAGTCGGCCAGCATCAACATATTGAACGAGAAGAGGGCAAGGGCTGTATTTGCTATCTCCTAGGCCATTATGAAGTACCCGAAGCACTGAAAGGCAGACATCTAAACCAATGAAATCAGCAAGCTGCAGAGGTCCCATGGGATGATTCGTGCCTAGCTTCATCCCCGTATCAATGTCCTCTTTAGTCGCTACTCCAGTGTAAAGTGCCCAGAACGCCTCGTTGATCATTGGCATGAGGATGCGGTTCACGATGAAACCAGGGTAGTCTTGTGAGCATATTACCGTCTTCCCAAGCCTGCAAGGTTCAAAAATAATCAGGCAATATCAAGTGGACAAGTACTTGCCAACATTACATTGAACGGATTTACGGCTTCAAACTTAATGTGTAACAGGACTTTTTACCCGATAAGAATAGAGATCTTTCAGCTAGGGCAAACCTACTTGATATGGATCCAGTTGTTGCTTTAACTTGTACTGAACAACATGTGTGGCCGTGGGCACGCAAGTAGCATTGTGTATTTATATACAGCGTAAATTCATTTTGAACCACAATAAACACAGGAGTTGAAATAATTTGAGAGGTAGAATATTCCTATTAAAGAAAATATGCACTTCACCTGACGGATGTCCTGCCCAAGGAAATAAAGTGTGCGATGCTAATTTGCGGACCTAAACTAGAAGTGAATTCTAAATATGCACTTCACCTGATGGATGTCCTGACCAAGGAAATAAAGTTTGCGATGCTAATTTGCGGACCTAAACTACAAGCGAATTCTGAATGCAACATTTCCTGTGACTTCTCAAAAATTCCATGTACCAGCTATGAAATAGTACCATACATTTCAATTTGGAATCTAATTTAAACTGTGCAGAAGTTACATAACATTGGACATGTTTTCTGAAGTTGTGTACATCAGAAATAGAATTGGAGTACTAGGCCTAACAGAAGGTGTAAACACAAAGCTTTCAGTTACCTTTCAGAAAAAGATTTGACTTTAGTGAAAACCTCTTCTGATGTATCAGCCCCACGTATGATTTCAATCAATTTCATTATCGGAGGAGGGTTAAAAAAGTGCATACCAATCACCTGCAGCAAGAAAAACTCTCTGATTTATTACTCCCAAAGATCTGAGCATTCAAACAGAGGCAAGTTTTAAGTGATACACAAATCGAACTACAAAATGAAAGACATGTAAACCGGAGGTTCAGACAATTTCGCAACCAAACGGAGCATGCATGATAGGTATATCCACCAAATTTGCATTCTATCTTCAAGAGCATGTTTTGAAGTTAGCTTTAGTATATACAATAACCTTTTCTACCTTCCTTGAAATGAAGTAAACAGATCTGTACCTAAATTCAGAACGCAATACTAATCACCACCACTGGCTGTCCCACCTTACAAACTTCTGGCAAAAATGCAACCCAAAAGTTAACGCACAGGTGCATCACTAACCCGATATGAAATTCTAAACAAGCGCATTCTCCTTTTCAATCCAGGAGGTTGCCCCAAAACAATATGTTATACCAACACAAAAGTAACAAGTAAGCATATGATTGGCAATTGAGTCTAGGAAGGAACTAGCAGCATTAAAAGACAGCGTGGAGATCAGGGAAACCTGACAGGGGCGATTAGTGGCTGAAGCCAATCGGGTTATAGAGATTGAGCTAGTATTGGAGGCAAGAATAGCAGAAGGTTTAGTGATCTTATCCAGCTCAACAAACAGCTTCTTTTTTATGTCTTCTGACTCCACGATAGCCTCAATCACAAGATCCGCATCCCTAAGCTCTTGCACACTGGAGACGCACTTAATCTGCTCGATGGAATGCTCACAGGAGGCCTACATCACCGAGCAAGACTAAAAGGGGTGACCTTATGTCTTCTGGCGAGAAAAAAGATCACGATTTTTGGGAGGTCAACGCGCTCACCTGAGAAAGCTGGCCCTTGGCGACGAGGCGGCGGAGGGAGGAGGAGATGGAGTCGACGGCGCGGGAGAGGGCGGCGGTGTCGGAGTCGAGGAGGAGGACGCCGCAGCCGGCGGCGGCGGCGAGCTGGGCGATGCCCGAGCCCATCTGCCCCGCGCCGATCACTCCCACCACCGCAATTTCTCTCGCCGTCGCTTGCGTCGCCATGGTTTCGTGTGTCCTAATCGTTCTTGGGTTTATCTGCGCGTTTCGTGGTGTACTGGTGTGTTACTCTACGGCAACTTGGGACTGCACCGGTACCACTCTCACCACCCACTTCTGCGAGAGAAGCCGTAGTACGCCTGTTGTTGCAAAGTTGTGACATGACAGAGGAGTATTTGAACGGTAAACTGCACATATTTTTCGAACTTTACCGAACTTAAAAACATTTGATTAGAAAAAAAAAATAAAAACGACTTATAATATGAAACGAAGAAAAAAAATATGTGTGATCATTCGATCCATCTCATCGACGGTTAGATATTTCTAGTTCGCATGTAAGTTTTCTCATTTTTGTTGAGTCAAATGGTGATTGAAAATAAGGTGTACAATGCAATAATATCAATTATTAGATTTTGAGCGGTACAGTGAACTTGTGGTTTTCCCCTATTTTTCTTCATTTTTTCTATGTATAATTTTTTTAAACAATACAAATGAGATAGTGCGTCATTTCATATTGATATAGTAATAAGAAATATAAGCCTATAGTCCCGAGAGGTTATAGCCATGAAATTAGAAAAAAAAAAGAAGCCATAACATATGTCTACAAACGGATCCTGCTGTTGAACACAACACTGTTAGAGAAATGGATCTTCAAACGACACCTCCAGGAAGGATAAAACACCGAGAGCGCCACTATTGCCCGTCCTGTGAAATCAAGATGCGGTTTTCACATGAAGATATCTATCATGAAGAGAAGGAGAGATTCTACGACAAAAACCCCAAGGGGGATATGGCGTTGACAAGCGTCACCATTGTCGGCCCAAAAACAAGTTAGGCTTTCACTCGTAATCCTCCAGCCCTCCTTTGCCATAGTGTAATCATCAGTAGCCACCACCACCCAACCACCTTTGATACGTAGCCACCACGTCAACGTCTCACCACCAACTGACCATCAAGTAGGAGAGTGAGCCTATGGGAGGTGGAGCTCGCTATCGACAACTCCTCCCTCCTTCGGTTGACGCCACTCACCACCCACGAGCCAATTTGTATGTGTGGGGAGAGAGGAAGGAGGAGAGGAGATGGGAGAGAGTGGGTTGAGGACATGATGGGGCTGGGTCACTGGGACTTAGCGAGTCTACCTAGCTCGATTCTGTTTTTATAATGTCCAATAATTTTTAGAAGTAGTCTACTTAAAAAAATCGTGAGTTACCAAGGACCCCTTTATGTGTCAAATTAATAGCTGCTAGATTTGTTATTGAGGGACTCCTTATTGTAACACCGTTTGTTGTCTTGGAATTTTTAATACTTACTTTCCCTATGTCAGTCTCTGAATTCTGAATGCTATTTAACAAGATTTTCTTTCTATTTTTTATGAATGTTTTGTATGGCAGTGTTAGGATTTAGTACAAAATATTTTTCAGCTTGTTAAATTGTTACACAGTTGAGTCCCCATGACCTATAAATGTCCTATGATCTTCCGATGTTTGAGTTTCAACCAATCATTTGTTTTTAGAAATGATCCGAACCATTATTAATTCTTATTTGATTTTATGCCATGTTATAGAGCAGCAGGTGATAAGGGTACACAGATTAATTCAGAAATAATCTTAGTACAGGTAGTGGTATAACTTGCCAACTTGGTAGTGGACTGTTTGCTTGCTGGATCAACCCAAGGATCCCGTTGGACAAGGTAACACGCAGAAATGTGCGGGGCGGGTCATCTGCTAGCACGCATGTCACCTTGGCCGGCAATGCGACCCGCGGGGCGGGCACGTCCAACTCCCGTCCCGCTTGCATCTTTACGATCTTAGCGACAGACCGGACACCCGCCGGAACGCATCACCAAATTCCAGCTACCCAACCACACCACACACATCACGTAGCCTTACACTGTTATAGGAAGCAACCAAAAACTATCCAGAACATATATATAAGCGCGGCTACATGAGCATGGCCGCGGCGGCGAGCAGCGATGAGCCGGCGCACGCCGCCCAGGTGCCGCCGCTGAGGCCGCGCGGGCTGCCGCTGGTTCTGGGTCTGATGCCCACGGGCCTGCCGTGGCCGCCCATGTAGGCGCGAGCTCCGCCTCGGCGCTCGTCCACGTCCATGTGGCTCGCCACGCAGACGCAGAGCATGACGAGGACGAGCGCGCAGACGGGAAGGAACATCGACCTCCTCATCATCTTCTTTCTGTCTTGTGTTGGTCTCCTTGGCGCACAGGCAGTTTTTCTTGTGATTTCTTGCCCTCCAACTCGATCGGCACGTAACCTGCTCGTCGCCGCGGGCTATGTATTTATACACACCGATCGGAAATATCTTTGAACAATATGCACCACACCAGTCCCTCAAAGATTTATGTCTATATGTTTAGAATCTGTGCTTTCTCGCGTACGTGTTCTTTTCCTTTCTTTCTAACGAGAATCTGTCTCCTTTCGGTGTCTTTGCAGACGAATTACTCTGAAAAATCTGTATGATTACACTATCTGTCACATAAAAATTCAATCTAGAATAATAAAAATATAATATTATTTATGTTTAGATTTATTGTATTAGTAAATATCACATCTCAATATAGATTTAATTTTTTATGATACAAAGAGTATATGTAGTAACATATTGATGATAGATGGATGCCGGACGGCATCATCGATGTTATTCTCATGCTTATCAACGAATTTTCTAAGCGCTTCTCTCCATCCGGGACCTCACAGAGGATCCTGATGAATAGTAACAAGATAGATTTAGATCCTGAAATTCTGTATTGTCTAAACAAGTCTTCAAAGTTTGTTACGTGGCTTAATATTATCTTCTTGGGTCTATTAAAAATGCCACTTGAACATAAAACATCATCCAAATTCAACATTTGAATATCTATTTTTACACTTACATTTTCCATAGAAAATAGAGAAAGACCAGTGGCGGAGCCAAGGCCCGGCCAGCACGGGCAGGCGCCCGGGCTCCGCTGCACGCACCCATACATTAGAACTAACTATGGTGCTTAGCTATTAGCCTAGCTGCATACATGCACCATTAGATTAGCACTAATTATCATACATAGTCATTAGCTAATAGCCCAATTTACTTCTATCCATGATAAAATGCTATATGTATTTGTGTTTACTTGTTAATTTGTTTTTTATCGCTAGATTTTCTCAGGCTAAGAAAAATTTCTAGATCCGTCACTGAGAAAGACAATGGAGAGAAAAAAAACAACGGCAATTGTCCATTCGTTAAAAAAATGTCGCATTGGTAATTAAAGTATGTGGCATTTTCCTTTGTTTTGTGTTCGCTTTCTATTTTTGTTTTTCTTTATTTTTTGTCTAGAAAATGATGGGCAAAATGAGCATTTGAATGTTGACTTTGTATGTATGAAAGATGTGGCATTTTCAGTGGGTCTAAAGACAATATTAAGTCATGTACAATCTTTAAAGATTTGTTTGGACAATATGTAACATTAAGAACTAATTTGACATCATAGCAAAATTTCAACAATCAATTCGATCACCCTTTTTGCAATTGAGAGATGTTATGAATGAATTGGTTGTTCAAATACTTTGTGTGTTCTCTCAATTCTCCAAATACTTTGTGTGTTCTCCTTCGAAGAGGAAGGAATCTGAACAGATTACTCTTGCTGACTTTTTTATACACGGTTCCGACTTCTTTCCTTGGTACACACACTGCTAGCCAGGAAGCTGCTATGGAAACCAGAGGAAATCTGGCACTCATATTGCTTTATAGTACAAGCTTGTAATCGGAATAGAGAGATCAATCTCCAACAATGGTGATTGTGGACGGCAACAAGGAGCTCCACCGGTTACCGGATGCTGAAAATTGGTCACGTCAAGGTTCACCTACGAGGAAGCTTAAAGTTCTGAGAAGAAACTGGTTGGTAGTTAGCTTTTAAGAATCTAAAAAAGCTAGGTTTTTCAACTTATGTCTTTCATTTCTGTGAATTCTATAATTGCAGTTTCTCAGTTTCTGAGAATCTAGATAAAAAAACTGAATTGTTTGGGAGAGCTTTAGATTTCTAGGGAAGTTGTAGCTACAACAAACTCCCCAAACAGGTTCGAAGCTTCATATCAAGTTCGGTGTCCAAATTCCAGCGAGGCCCATTTAGAAAACCATAGGAAAGGCCGATAGTGATGGACGGCGCAACGCCCGGGTGAATAATTGCAAAGTATTTATATGGAAAATCCTCAACCTCGATAGTCCAAATTATCGGGCACCCTCCCGCTCACTTCATGTATACACGCGGTTGCTCTGCCTCCTCTCTCTCTCTCTTCTCTCTGCGCTCTTTACAATTTATGCTCCCAAATAAAGGTCCAAATGTTCAAACAAAGACACTGTTTAAAGTGATAACACAAATCAATGACAAAATGAAGGACATGTAAAGCAGACATTCAAACAATTTCGCAACCAGACATAACATGCATGATAGGTATTTCAAACACATATTATTTTTTGTTCTTCAAGGGCATGTTTTTGAAGTTAGCTTTAGGCCCGGTTTAGTTCCCAAAATAAAAATTTTCACGCTGTCACATTGAATGTTTGGACACATGCATGGAGTATTAAATGTAGAAAAAAAACCAATTACAGAGATTTCGTGTAAATGCGAGATGAATCTTTTAAGCCTAATTGTGCCATGATTTAACAATGTGGTGTTACAGTAAATATTTGCTAATGATAGATTAATTATGCTTAATAAATTCGTCTCGTAGTTTTCTGACAGAATCTGTAATTTATTTTGTTATTAGACTACGTTTAATAATTTAAATGTGTGTCCGTATATCTGATGTGACAAAAAAAATTCCTCAACTAAACAAGGCCTTAGCATATGCAAGAACATTTTATCCCTTCATGAAAAAAGAGTTGCAGATCAGTACCTAAATTCATAATGAAATACTATCACCAGCATTGGCTGTCCCACCTTACAAACTTCTGGCAAAAATATGTTATTGAATTATTTAAAAGAATATGTAAATATTTATATTTTTTAAAACAATTCAATAACTTATATATTTGTGAAATGATATATTTACATATTGTTAGAATTTAAACGAATGGACCTCCGGAAAAAGAATTTCCCATCTAGAGACTTAAGAAGAAAACACTAAGATCATAGACGAGTTGCTAATCAATAACCTGACATAGGCGATTAGTGGCTAAGCCAGTCGGGTTATAGAGATCGAGATAGTGTTGGGAGTAGGAGTGTCGGGAGGGATAGAAACAAACTGAACTAATTAACCGACCGCGCGAAACCGAAATTACCGAGACCGTGCTTTTCGGCTAGAAATTCGGTCGTGCTTCTTCACTAACCGAAATTACGATCATGACCCTCGATTAACCAAAATAACTGAATTAATCGAAATTAGGAAAGAAGCCCAGGAGCTGCACCAAACAGGCTATATTATGAATAAGGCTATCTTGGGGAGTGAATAGGTGCGTCATATATTGTCAGCTATTATATTGTTTGCTATTTAATTATAAAAAATATCCTAAAAGAGGAGAAAGGCTACCAAAATTTTGTTGTAATTTATTTGATTTTTTATCTCCTGAAAATGTCACATATTCTGGTCATGGCTGAAGACTGAACTAATCCACTCAAGAGCGAATTGCTTAATCTTGGGACACCACTATACATCTAGTGGTCTCGTGATAGGCTAAATCAGCGACCCAATTTATTTTCCATAACTAGTACCATGTTCAACCAAGTGCACTTTTAAAAAGTAGATATGTTTAATTAGCATTTATCTCTTTTCCACGCGGAGAGTATGCAAGCATGCAACAAGGAAAGATAGTCCTAATAGCAAAACTTCAAATAAACTTTTATTTCAAATTACATATCCAATTTACAATCCGATTATACCATTGCATTCATTGTGATTAATTAAATTTTTATAACAACATGTTACATGATTATATTATGATGAAAATAAATATATATGTTGTATATTACTTTTATTATATAGAAAAAATACTCGTGCATTGCAATAGGTAAAAATATTTTTGGATCGCTATACATTCTACTATTTGCTTTTGGACCAAAAGCTCGTTCCTCCTTCCTTCCTTTTCAGTCTCAGCCATCAAATCCGGTCGAATCCTCCCCACCAAATCTAGAAGAATCTTTCTCGATATTTCAAAATTGGTTGATGGTTTTTATTCACTCGATCTTCTTTTTCCGTTTTTATCCAAATTGGAGCGAATCCACAAAATTTGGGATAAAACGGTGACTTTCAAATAAAGATTAAATTTAATGAATTAAAGCGAATTGAAAGAGAAAATCATGAGAAAAATGAAGAGGGAGTAGGGTTGAATCAATTTTTGCAATCAATTGGTGTAGAGAACACATGGGGAGACATATGGACGTGGCGACGACGCAAGAGTTCGCCCGGGAAAAAAAACATGGCAGATAAAAAGCAAATTCTTACCTCTTACAAGAAAATGCAACTTAAAAAAATAGCGATGAAGAAAAAAGCGGATGAAAATCTCAGAAAAAAGGCGAGAAAAAAAAAGAAAAAAAACAGCGGATAAAAAAAACCAAAAAAAAGCGAAGAAAAAGGCAGACGGGAAAAAAGCCGAAAAAACAGAGGAAAAAACAGCGGAAAATAGATGACGGAAAAAAAGAAAAAAAGGATGGAAAACAACCCAAAAAAAGTGAAGAGAAAAGCGGACGAAAAAAAAGGCGAAAAGAAGACGAAAGGGTGTGTTTAGTTCTTTGGGGGTAGAGTTCTTTAAGTATACAGACACACATTTGAAGTATTAAACATAAACTAATAACAGAACAAATTACAGATTCCACCTGTAAACTGCAAGACGAATTTATTAAGCCTAATTAATCCATCACTAGCAAATGTTTACTGTAGCACCACATTATCAAATCATGGCATAATTAGGCTCAAACGATTCGTTTCACAATTTTCCCCACATTTAATGCCCCATGCATATAACTAAACATTTGATGTGACATTTTTGGCCAAATTTTTTTTATCTAAATAAGGCCGGACAAACAAACAGCGAAAAAAATATATGGACAGAAAAAACGAAACCAAAGAAAAAAAGGAAGGAAAAAATGGCAAAAAAAAGATAGATAAAAAAGGGAAAAAGAAGCAGAGAGAAAGAAAGGAAAAAAGGACCCAAAAAAGAGGAAAAATGAACGAAAAAAAGAAGGAAAAAGGGCGAAAAGGCTTATGCTTAAATTACTTTTTAGACATTGAATGAATAATTTATTTTGTTGGTTAGTTGTATAATATGTTGATTAAATTTAATTTCTAGATAGACTTATGTTTTTACCCCCAAAATAGATTTACTTTTAATGTTGTGACAAGTTATTTTTTTAAGTAACTTCTATAATATATATAAATTACTTTTAGGCTTTATTGGATTTACTTTTTTATGTCTAAGAAGTAATTTAATAAAATCTAAAAGTAATTTA